GGGGCCAGGTGAGGCGCTGCCCGCGGGGGGGCGAGCAGCCGGGAGCCCGTGCCTCTGCTCCCCTGGGCACCGGCACACGCTGTCACCCGGTTCTAGTCCCTGTTCAAACCGCCTTTCGTCCTGAGACTGAGGGGGGTGGTCAGTCCTACCTTAGCAGTTTGTCTGAGCCTGCTTACAACAGGTCTGTTGTTGAGCTAGCTGTGTGTAGTCTGGGGCTGGTGGTCCAAGCAGAAGCAGGCTGCTGACTTCTGTAGCACTGTGGAAAATGCTGCCTGATAATGAAAGAGCCCTGGGGCTGATGCATCCAAGCTGGTATTTTGGACCAAGTAATTCAGCACCTTGGGTGTTTCCATGGAACACTGCAGAATGTCTTCCCTTGTTTGGGAATTCCAGTCCCTTCAAACACTTTAATGCAGTGTCTTCCAGCAGGTGGGAGAAGACACTGTTACCACCTGGGCCCTTCCACCCCACCTGCCATTCTTTCCATTAGCTTGCTTAACAGGTGTGGATGGTTGCTTGCCAAAGAGAGGAGCTGAAGCTGCAGGCAGAGGTATTGCCAAGACAGACAGTTGTTCCTACCTGGACACTGTTTGTACCCTGAGATGAGGAGAGTGAAATCCTGGATGCTTTACTGCAGTGAGATTCTTCCTGATTGCAATGCAAAAACTTACACACGGGGCAAGGGCTGCCCTGGCTGGGGCTCTCTCCATCTCCACTCCCCACCACGCTCTCAGTGGCTGCTGTGAAATAAGCTGAGATGAGGAAACATTCAGAATTCTGAGTGTAACTGCCCCAGCTGGCGTGAGCTGTGTAAGCTCCACGTGCAGACAGGTCTTTGTCTGTTCCCACAGACGTTCATCTTCACGGACTGGGAGGACCAGGAGCTGCGGCTGAAGGCAGGTGAGCTGTGCCCCAGAGCTGCCCCTCAGGGCTCCCTGCTGCCCTCGTGCTCTCCCCAGAGGTCCTCACCTCGTGGTGTACAAGCAGTTGGGGACGTTAAGATGGAGAAAAGGGGGAGAGCTTCTCCTTTGACGTGAGAACGTGCTGCTGCTCCTTGTCGCCTGGCCGGGATGCTGGGGGTGCCTGAGCTCTGGGCTCACCTTGGCACCCACCTCTGCCACTCAGCTGAAGTCTGTCTAGGCCAGAGCTCTGCTGGGTTCTCCCTGTGCCCCTGTCTCGTGGCACTGTTTGTACCCCTGCACTCACATTTCTATGCCCTCTGCAGCTGCCGTGTGTGTCCCGTGGGCCCTGCCCTTCGCTCTCCATCTGTGCTCCATACGTGCTGCAGATGTGCAGCCCTGCTGCCAAATGTGCAGTTCTTTGTAGGCACTTTGGGCTGCACATGCTTCTCAGGCCTGAAAGGGATGATCTTTTATTCTTCTAGGGGATCATATGATCAACACCAACTGTTCTGCTGTCCATACCCGGCAAGCTCTCTGCTGCAAGATGTCTGTGGAATATGATAAATTCCTGGAATCTGGGCAAAAGTAGGTGAAACATATTGTTCTGAGTGACTTTGTTTATTCCAGTTCTGTGTTATCAGGAAACTTCAGTAACCTTCTCTGCTCCAGCATGGAATACAGTATTAGCTAAAATGTGAGGAGCAGAGGGCAGGGAGCGTCGCTTGTAGGCAAGCACCACCTGAAAGGTGGAAAGTGGGGGAATCTCAAGGGGGTTATTGATTTCCAGCTTCTTCCCAGAACTAGGACCTGTGGGTGCTTCTCAGCTTCCAAATTCTGTAACTCGGGACAATGTGAAATACTTTCTGCTCCAAGCCTGAAAGACTAAGACTCAGCTGTAGACCTGTTAACTCATTTCTTTGTCACTGCCTGCAGTAACTTTCTTGTTTTGTTTGAAGATGGTTTTGCCACGTGGATGATGACAACTATGTGAACCCTCGGACGCTCCTGCACCTCTTATCTGCCTTCTCACACAGCCAGGATGTTTATGTGGGGCGGCCAAGTCTGGATCATCCCATTGAGGCAGCTGACCATGTCCAAAGTGATGGATCAGTAAGCAAACTTTAAAGTTAGTCTGAGAGACATCTTGACCCTCTAGGCTTTTAAAACCTTGAGAGTTCATAGGATCCTGTCATAAAAATAAGTGTTTTAATCTGCAAGCAATGAGCCTGGCACTGGCTGCTCTCAGAGACAGGGCTCTGGGTTAAATGAACCTTTGATCTGACCTCATATCCCTGTGTACAACAGAATCTGTCTGCTGGCTGGCTGTCTCTTCCTTTACTCACTTGTGTTGTTGATCTCCTTCACACTGACTCGACTTTTCCTTTAGTATTTGGGGGGAATGGTGTTCCTTGTTTTAGGGACTTTGGTTGGGGTTTGGGGGGTTTTTGTTTGTTTTGATAGTGGTATCACACACTCATCATCCTGAACCAACTGAGATGGGTGACTGTTGTGGTTTGAGGCTTGGAATGGGGGCGTGACCTTCCAGCAACTGGGAGGACCCCGGGTGGGGGTGAACCATTGTATTCCCTCCCCTTCCCACACACACTCTGATAAGAGGCAGGGAGTGGGTTCTTATTTCACTCCTGCCTTGGAGCTCGGAGAGGGAAGTTGTCCTTTCACTCCGTGGGACCCTGGAACCATTTCTGAGGGTTTTGTATATTTTATTTTTTGTATTATTCCCCTAATCTTTGTATATATTATTTCCCTTACCTCCCTTTGTCGTTTTCTGTTCCTTGTTGAACAATATACTTCCTTTTTTTTCCCAAAGTGTCTCTCTCTCTCTCAGGGGGGGAGAGGCGAGTCCATAGTTCTGTTCCGTGTGGGTCCTGCCCTGAACCCCTTTTTACACAGAACCAGGACAGTGACAAATGCTCTATGGGTGCAAAAGGCATTTCCAATTTCTAGGTTTCCCAGAAGTGAAAGCAAATGTATCTGTCACAGTCACAAGGCACCTGTGGTGAAGGACAAGTCCTCAGCAGGTTGCCTGTACTGACAGGCCTAAGGAGAAATCCATCACTGGCCAGACAGTCAGTTACGAAGCAGCTTGTTAGGGAAGGATGTGTGGTGAGGAGACTAATAAAGCACCTCTGACTCCCTCAGGCACACTGTCTAGCTGTGACCCTTGGCTGGAATTACCAGGGGACAGATGGAATTGGGTAGGAGGTGGGACTGTAGTTTCCCATTTCATGTGTCCTACCTCAGCTGTGCTAACTTGATGGCTTACCTGCTGTCAGTTCCAGGGTAGAGTTTCATCTGAGACAACAGCTAGCTGGGCTTTCAGCCTAAAGAAGTAAGAACTAATCTGTAGGCTTGTTCTGACTCAAGTGTAGTGTGTGATGTCTAATAGAACCTCGGGTTCCCTTCTCTGCCGAGCCAAAGGGAAGAAGATGATTGTCACTAACTCCTGTCTGTTCTTCTCCTTGCCCTTCAGAAGACAACTGTGAAATTCTGGTTTGCCACAGGTGGAGCAGGGTTCTGTATCAGTAGAGGTCTTGCTCTGAAGATGAGTCCCTGGGCCAGGTAAACCCTGTTCCTAGCCAAGCTCCCTCAGTACGTGCTTGGTAGGCTCTGAAGCACATCTCACCTCGTGCTCCTGTGCTGTCTCGTAGCCTGGGGAACTTCATCAGCACTGCAGAGAGAGTGCGGCTGCCCGACGACTGCACCATCGGCTACATCATCGAGGGGCTGCTGGAGGTGAAGCTGCTGCACAGCCCCTTGTTCCACTCCCACCTGGAGAACCTACAGAGACTACAAGGCGAGTCTGTGTTGCAGCAGGTAGGGCGAAGCCTCGTGTCCTGTTCTTGTGGTTACACCTCAGTCTGATCAGAAAGAACTCTCCCCATAGACTTTGCACTCTTCAGCAAAGAAGGGGGTCTGCCAGCTCAGAGCTGGGACCTGTCCAATGCCTTCATTTAGGTAAAAAGCATTCTTTCACCCTAGCCAGTTAGGTCATACAGCTGTCCCCTCCTTTGGGGACACATCCTGCTACATTAAACCAAAGTATCATGTTCCCCATTTGCTCCTGAATTCTGACTTTCCAGAAGTCAGAGTAACAGCAGGTGGAGGAGGAGGCAATCTGTAGTTTGCTTGCTGTGCAAGGAAGTTTCTGTCTTTGCCTAGGAAAGTCTCAACCTTAATTCATGCTGTACAAAAAGACCAGTATCACATCTTCAACAGCTGAGATGTAGTTAAGGGTTTGACCATTTTTAAGAATAACTTTTCTGAATCTCAAGAACCTTAATCAGTGTTTCTTAGGAAAAATCCTGTTTGTTTAATTGCTGGGACACCTTTTGATCCTGGGCAGCAGGTGGAGCTGTAAGGCTATGCAGAAGCTTGGGCTGCCTGTTGCTGTTTGGTACTGTGGATGAGAGTGTGGCTTTGCCCCTACAAACTTCACGGTTACATTTTCCTGGCACTTTCATTAGGCAGCAGAAATGTACACTTGGTGACAAATTCCTCCACGATGTCACCTCCTTCATATTAGTGAATTTAACTGTTTCTGTGAGACTGTGACAGCTAACCCCAAATCCCTGAAATCTGCAATTATAAAGGAAATACAATTCTTGTACCCAGCACCTGGAAATGTCTTAGTGCAGTGCTTGTGTGGGACAAGAGCAGCAGCACTGACCCGGAGTGCAGAGGTCTGTGTTGGTGCCAGGCTGGTCACAGGGCCATCCTCTGCATGCCCCTTAACAAACAGATATTTGTTTTCCCCTCTGTGCTAAGCCAATGCTACTGCAGGCCTCATCAACCTCTGCTGAGGGTGAGTATGTTATTCAGTGCAGACATTAGCAGGGCTCCTGCCCTTACAGCTCTTACAGCTGTCACTCTTGCCCTTCAGAGCAGTGCAGCTTTCATGCCCTGGCTGCCCTCCCACGCTGCCCTTAGGTGTCTGTTTGGCCATTCCCTGCCAGTGTGGCTCATGTCAGAACTGACCACTGGTTTTCAGATGTTACCCACCGTGTGGATTGGACAGGATCCTTGGCTCTTTCTTCATACCTCCCTAACAATCCTGCTCTACTCACTCTGTCTGACTAGTGTTACAGCTCCTGAATGTGTGTTTTGCTTTTATAGGTAACCCTCAGTTACGGGGACCCTGAGAACAAGCACAACGTTGTGAGTGTGGGAGGAGTGTTTGGCCTCCAGCAAGATCCCACCCGGTGAGTGTCCACTTCCAAAGCAAGATCTCCCTGCCTCGTTCAGGGCTATCCACTGGGAGATGACAAAACCCACTGATGGGGTTGTTTCCCCATCTCAGCTCTTGTGGCTGTCCCAGAGGCAGGTAGACCCACCCTCTCTGCTCTGGAGAGCTCTGCACATTCAGTGCCAGTAAGTTCCTTGTATGAGGAATTCCAATCTGATATTTTCTTTTCCTTTTTTTGTCTTCATAGATTTAAATCTGTTCATTGTCTGCTCTACCCTGACACTATTTGGTGCCCTGCTAAGAAGATTCCTAATTCTTGACCAGCTGTTGAGACCTGTATCTCACCTAGTTTGCATAAGATGGGAGTTGTGGTGGACTTTTTTGGTGGATTTTTCTTTTCTTTTTCTGGGAGACAACCAGAGGTATCTACAGAGGAGAGAGACTCTGTCTACAAGAGCAGGGTGGCGTGGTTTGTTCAGCTGCAGCTGGGGACATTCCAAGAGGAATCCTTGTTCTTTCAGGCAGTGGCTCCTCATGGAATGACGAGTCCTGTGGGTGCAGGTCACTTTGTGTTGTCATCACCTGATGTCTGTCAGTCTGTGCTTCCACACACCCCGGGCACCTGCAGGACTTGGAACAGCAGCATTCTTACTGCTGCTGGGGGCTTCTAGAGGCCCTTGTCTTGAAGCTGGAGTGCTGAAGCAGACTGTAGTCCCCATGGTGACAAGAGAGGGGAAGTTTTCACTCATTTCTTTGGAACAGGAGGATTTAAGAGCTGCTGTTGCCTGCCATACTAAAACTCCACCTGTGGGCTGGAACGGGGCCTGTTCATAAACACCAGAAATCCTGGGGCAGACAAGGCTGAAAGCTTCTGCTGTGGGAACACCCTGCCGAAGGGCTTGGAGGACTGGGTAAGAGCTGCTTACAGTGCACATTCTCCCCAGTAGTCCACGTGTACCTCCCATGGAGGTGACTCTCAGACTTGGCTCTCTTACCAGCTCAGCTGCAGTGGGTATGATGGTGGTCTGCCAGGTCCCAGATTATTCCCTTGATCCCTGATACTGATGGGATGTGTGCCAGAGGAGCTGCCAGTCGTGTCTCCTGCCTTGCACACCTCAGGCTGAGGGAGAACACCCTTTGTGTCTCTGGAGTTGTGCTGTGCCTTCTGCTGCCTGTGGGGGAGGAGGGACGGTAGGTAGCTGTGATGCCCTGAGGACATTTTTGATGCTATCACTTGAGGACCTTTAATTGTATGGTAGGGGTTACTCCAGCTTCTTCAGATAATCCTTTGATTACTGTAAGGTCGAGATCAGTGTTTAGTTTTACTTCCTAGTGCTCGAGTAAATAGTTTGTGTAGCCACTGAAAGGAGGCTGCTCCCCCACACCACAGCTCAGTGCTGTAGCAGTCGCCTGCTGCTGGCCTTTAAATACAGCAAGCTTAGTTTTGAAAGTGGAAGAAGTGGGACTCCATGTGTTTACACTATGAGCCTAAACTTTGGCCATGTGCCATCCCTACCTGACAGAAGAGTTGCTTAAAAAAAATTACTTTGCAAAACCACTTTTTATTCTCACAGACTCTTCAGAAAATACTTGCTGGTTTAGTGCTAGGGTTGGAGGTGAATTACAGGGAGAATAACAGAATGGCATTGTGGAAACTGGAACTGTGATTCATGGCTGGGACGTGGACCTCGCACAACCCTTGGATCTCTGAAGAGCTGTCCTGAGCTGTGCTGTGGACTTCAGCTGGCTGCCTAGCTTCTGCATGTGAAAGGTGGCACAACAGAGGCAACTGCCTGCTGTGTATTCAGGTGTGAAGCTCAGCAGAGGTGTCAGCCTCCTGAAATACAGGAGGCTGTTTTCAACATAAACCTTTCATCAGTTACCCGAGTACACTGTGCTCTTTGCATGATCTTAGTTAATTCCACTGGGGAACAAACAAGCTGACTGCTTACTTGCTATAGTCCTGCAGCTCATTCTTAAACTCCTCCTTCATGTCTGCTAAGGTGCCCATGAGGTCTGGGGAACAAGAATACTGCAGGGAGCTGGATGGATGTTCAGCTAGCACAGTGGCTGTTCCATAACAGGTACCCCTGCAATGCTGACAGCCTGCTAGAGAAAACAGGACGACTTGTGAAGCAGTAGGAGTTGGCATGTTCTACCTCTTCATCAGGTCTTCTGCTCACTGGAACTGAGGTGTCCTGTGGTTTAAGGATTTATCATTAATAACTATGAGGATTCCTGGTGTCTATGCAGACTTGGATTTTTTAACACTTGTTAGGTTCTTGTTTTCAGCCTCCTGTAGCAGTAAGCTGTGAAACTTTGAGCTCTTGATGAGATTTTGCCTTCAAACACTGATTCTGACCTCTTCAGTTGAGCTCTTCTTCCTCTTCCACTGGTGGCAGCCTCTTGTAGGACACCACAGGCAGCATGGGCTGGGTGGTGATGGTGGCAAAGGGCAGGTCACAGGTGGCAGCACCTCCTATGGCTGGCAGCAAAGCTGAGGAGTGGAAGCTTCACACCGTAGCCACTGGTCACCCTAAACTAGGTTTGCCCAAGAGGCAGCAGAACTGTCAGCTGGCAGGGTGTTTCTTAAACTGCAGAAGGACCACACTCTCCTGTGTGGCAATACAGAGCTGTTCAGTGTGTTCAAGCTTCTTGTAAAGTTTCTTGTGTTGACAATAAAGTAGGCTGTGTGGATATTATCAGGATGCAGCTTTTTAATCAAACTACTGTCTCATACATAAAGTGATTCTACAAAATAAATATTTAAATATGTCAAAGGCTGTGTTTTGTCATGTTTCTTGACATTCTATACACCAAAAATGGAACATAAAGCCTGTAATCCAGAAAACTACAGCCTCCTGTCAAACTGTTGTGATGCCAAAGGGTCAAAAAGGATCTGAGTTAGATGACTTGGATGTGCAGAGGAACTTATATGGATGAGAAGAATCCTTGTGCATGGTTAAGCAAAGTAGAATAATTCAAATAAGGAATAAGTTAATGGTAAACTTGTCTCAGCATTTTCTAATTTTTTTTCTGGACTTTCTAAATATGCCACAGGCATTCCTAAGGAGTCACCAGACAGCAGTGTCTGAATTGGGTAGCATTACAAACAGACTGGTTAAGGGGATGTAGACTTGCCTGTGGTCCTCTGCTGTTGGATAATGCCAGCTCTGCCAGGCAGGAGTTCCAGCTGCCACGCTGGCTGTCATTGGAAGCAAACTTATCTATGACCTCTTAGCTATCACTCGTCTGTTTTTGTTTTGTACTTCCAGTGCACTGCTGCTGTCACAGGTGCTGTGTGAGGGATCTGGCGTGCCTGGGTCCTGGGGCAAGTGCAGCCCAGGGACTTGGAGCTGATTTTTCTAGGCAGTGCCTATTGGAGCAGGACTGCCCAAACTTCATCAGCAACTTCCACGTGGGCAGAGAAGGCATCATCTGCTAAAGAGCCTGGTTTTCTGTGGTAGCCCACCATGAGAGCTTAGTGAGAATCAGGGCCAAGAAAAGGAATGCCCGGGTGCCGGCCTTGCGGGCTGAGCCCTGGGAGCGGCCCCTTGCCCGGTCCTGGCGGGGGAGGCGCCGGGGGCT